CTCAGCCCTTCAATTAATCCCACATGTATTTATTAGCCAGGTTGGCACAATGAACTAACTACCTCACCCTCTGATTTGCAAAGCATGATGCCCTACTCAAGGAATTTGCCCTTCATATTGACATGTCTAAGGCACATGACATGAAGGAGCACCATCCTTGCTTTTAAGGAACATTCTGGTTGCACTCGTTCCAAGACAGATATGTTCATTCTTCTTGCAGTCTCTCAGATACTCAATTTCCAAGCTCCATAATTCAAATGCATGAATCCTTCTTGAGTCTTCCTATCCATAGCTCAACTTTCATATGCATATAAAGCAATTTAAAATATCATGGCTTGGAACAGGTATACACTAGTCCTCAAAATAGCACCCTTGCTTTTTAGCACTTTAAGAGGTCTTGTGCAGCAAATTTGTCTGAAGCAACATGTCAACCAATTCTTTGACTGCTGCTTTCATAGGCATTGTCTATAGATGCAAAAATTAGGATTTTGATAATTTCAATATTTTCTCTATTATAATGAAAATAGCTCAAATGTCCCATAAATAAGAGAAGATATGAACACATTATTGTACATTTATTTAAAGGAATACTACTCATTGATAGAAATAAATGAACTGCTGGCACATTCAACAACATAGATAGCTTTAAAAACATTTTATTGAGTGAAAAAAAAGAGGCAAAATGAGTGTATATTTTGTGATTTAATTTACACGAGGGTCTAAATTTGTTAATATTAAGCTAGAGTGAAAGAATCATACTTGTGTTTGCCTTTAGTGAGGATGTAGGTAATGTAATAGGAAAAAGAAGAATTTTATATAAATAGTGTTATATCTTGATAGGTGTGGTGTGCTTTTTGCCAGTTCTATGCATTTGTCAGAATGTACTGAAACTAATTTATACCCTTCTTTCTGTATAAATGATGATGCATAAAAAATTTTTCATTCCTCAGGGATTTCGTTGCTTTGCTACCTTTGCTGCTCCGCAGTACACCCTTAGTGTTCACCCTGGTGTGGTGGAGTCAGATTGGGCACATTTCCCACACTGTGTCCCCAGTGCTGCCCCCCTTAGTGTCAGTGAGGGACACATCATCCTTTCTCATGACGGGGCCAGCCTTCTGATCCCCTCTGTGCCTTGGCGTCTCTGAACCAGAGTATTGTCCTCATGGCTTGGTGGGCCAGGTGTGTTCCACTCTCTCCTTCCGTCTTCCTTTGCTCCTGTTCAGACATGCCACACTTCCAGAGCTGCAGCTTCAGTGTTGTCCTCTGAAGTGCATTCCTCTGGGGTGGGGGGTGGGGAGTGCTCACATAGTTGGCATTGGGAGCTGGCCGGCTGACCTCTCTATTGGTTCCCTGGTTCATGCTGGTTGGTTGCACTGGCTTCTTGGTGAACTTGGTTGAAGCCTGGCCCCCTCTCTCACTCTCCTGTGGAGATATAAACACCGCCCTTCCCTTGGGTGGGTTAGTGCCCTGTTCCCCCTGCCACCACTGTCTCTCTTAATGCCAAAGGTGAACGTGGGGGCCAGGGTGTGGGACCCTAGTGAACTAGACTGGGAAACACTCATCAAGGTCAATAGACAGGCCTGGAACTGCTTGCGGGCTTTTCAGTTTTGGCGGTTGGTTTTTATTTTTCTCTTTATTTGTTTTGTTGTATTAGCTGTTGTTGATTTATTTATTGTCTGCTTTGTTGTGTTATGTTTGCTCTGCTTTGTTTTTGTGTGCATTATTGTCAATGCATGTCTATCTAGACAAGATAGGCAGGATGAACAATCCAGAGGAGAGAACAATGGGACCGACTGTTCCAGGGGGACATGGGAGAGGGAGAGATGGAAGAAAAGGAGGGGGATGCCAACAAACCCAGGGACAAGGGAAGAATAAGTGATCTAAAATCGATGGCGAGGAGGTCATAGGGTGCTGGGTGGGGGAGGGGTCTCGATCAATGGCAATGTAGCTGAGAGGAGTTACAAAAACCTAAATGAAGGCCAAACATGACAGTGGAAATGGAGGAAAGTAAAAGGAAACAGAGGAGATAACTGGGAGGCATAGAACATTTATAGAGGTCTACATACAGGATTGTATATATGTAAATACATTTATATACAATGATGGAAATAGAGCTATGTATACATATTTATTTATAAAGTATTATGGTAGCAGATGGACAATGGGCCTCCACTCAAGTACTCACTCAACACAAGAACAATTTGTTCTACTAACACGGCACTCTGTGATGTTCACCCCCCCTGACACAATCTCTGAAGACAAAATAGGTGCATAAGCAAATGTGGTGAAGAAAGCTGATGGTGCCCAGCTATCAAAAGACATAGCATCTGGGATCTTAAAGTTTTGAAGATAAACAAGCACCCATGTAGCTGAGAAGTAACAAAGCCCACATGGAAGAAGCACACCAGCCTGTGATCATGAGGTGTCCATGGGATCAGGTATCAGGCATCAAAGACCCAAAACAAACAAACAAAAAGCATATCAATGTAATGAGAGGGAGAGCAGAGTGGAGACCCAAAGCCATCAGTAGTCAATTGGACACCCCCCTGTCAGAAGGGCCACAAGGAGAAGAAGAGCCAGTCAGGTGCACTAAAGCAATGATGAAACGCACAATCTTCCTCTAGTTCTTTAATGCTTCCTCCCCAACCCCAACCCCCACCCATTACCATGACTCCAAAACTATCTTACCAGTATGGCTAGACCAGAGCATGTACATGGGTGCAGATAAGAGCTGGAAACACAGGGAATCCAGAGCAAGCAACCCCCTCAGGACCAATAAGGGGAGCAGCCATACCAGGAGAGTAAGGGGTGGGAGGTGTGTAAGGGGGAACCAATCACCATGATCAACATATGGCCCCCATCCCAGGGGGACAGACAGCAGAAAAGTGGGTTAAATGAGATAGCAGTTCGTGTAAAATATGAAAAAAAGAAGAATTTATGAATTATCAAAGGGGCATGGGGGAGGGAGAGAGGGTAAGAGAGAAATGATGAGCTGATGTCTGGGGCTCAAGTAGAAAAAAAATGTTTTGATAAAGATGATGACAACATATGTAAAGATGTGTTTTACAAAATAGATAGATGTATGGATTATGATAGGAACTGTAAGAGCCCCCAATAAAATAAAATGAAAATGAAAAAAAATTTGTAAAATTCTTCAACATGGAGAAAAAGACATTTAACTGGGAATTATATATTGGTAAGGTTTTTGTTTTTTTCTTTTGGGAGGGAGGAGCAGGGACAAAGCACAGGAATAGGTCCTAAATATACCTTGAGAATCCAATACTTTCATTTTACAGCTGAAGATAGCTTCCGAACACATTGTTGACATACATTAACCTTTAAATATTTTAATATTTCTCATTAAATTTCTTGAGTGTTTTAGCTGGCAGCATGTCAATTTGCAGGCATCTGCTCAAAGGCTGTCACTGTCATGTAAGAAATGCTGTCCTCCCACTGAACTACACGTCTGCACGCTGCTGCCAGAGCATAAGCAAACTAGGGCAGATTGTCAGCCAGTGAATGTCCCTGTCCCAAGTTATTTATCTTAGGTTGGAGACCACTCTCCAGGGGCAAAGACTGGAATAGTTAAGGAAGTTCTATTCATTGGCATTTTAACCCCAAACTTCCAGTGAACTCCGAGAGTTTAAAACCAGAAGCCAGCGACGATTTCATTTCTTTGTTTTTGAAATTTAGAGCAGAGTTCTCTGAACTTTGATTACAGTTGCTTTGAGATGAACGGATATCATCTTTAAGCCATGTCATTTTCTTGCAGGCCCACAGGGTCTGCATTAATTTATAAAGAAAGTAAGAGGATAAATGGTTGATTACCACTGCTCTAAAGAGAAGAGATTTCAGGATTCAGATAACTTGGCCTGCCCTAAAGAAGATAGATTTTGCAATTAAAATGACAGATTTTTTAAAGTTACACAGAAAAGAGGCCTGAAAAGCAAATGTTAATGATCTGAACTAAAGGATCTTTCTTCTGTAACAGAATAAAGTTAGTGGGAAATATGTTGATGGAATAATCTATCAAGCTGTCTTAAGAAGATAAATAATTTGTTTTCTGAAATTAAATAAAACTCAAAGAACCAGTGTAAAATTTTGCACTCTGTGTTTACTGCAGTATTTGTTAGTGCAGAGAATATGAGTAAATGTCAGTTTCCAATCTTTGATTTTGCAGACTCTCTGAGGAAAAGAGACGATACTTATGGTTTTATCGCCTTTACTGCAATAAAGAGAACTGCTCCCTTCCTTTGGTCCTGGGCAGTGCCCCTGGATGGGATGAAAGGACCGTTTCAGACATGCATGCCATTTTGAGAGCATGGGAATTTTCACATCCTTTGGAGGCACTTGGGCTTTTGACTTTCAGGTAAGAATTTCAGAACCAGTATCCATGAATAAGGAGAAAAATCAAGGACTAGAGAATTAATTCAGGAGTTATTCTGTTTCTGATTTCAAAATGATGATATTTATTTTCAGTGTTTGGCTATTTTGAAGCTTTGGCAATTAATTGAGAGAACTCTAAGCTCCATTGGCGTTTTCTGCCCTAAACGTCATAGATTCTCAAAGAAGGGGTCTAGTTGTTCTCCATCAAACAACACTTGCAAAGAAAGGGAGTCATTTGGGAAAGTTCTCGACTCCTGTTCCTCTCACGAGAAAAAAGAAATTCTTGAAATATGACTCTGTATCTTTTACTATTGAAATATGCAACCTGTAGAGGGGGGAAAAAGCCCACTTTTCTTAGAGCCATACTTAATATCATCAGGGTGATGGTAAGCTTTTGTTTAACCTATCTTTTGTGTTTTCCCCAGCTCCGCTCTCAATACAATACCAAGCCAAACCCAAACCCAAATCAAGTGGGTTCCTGCTTATGGCAAGCCTCCAGGACAGAGTAGAACCACTGCCCGGGCAGGTTTCTGAGTCTCTACCTTGTACTGAAGTAGAAAGCATCACCCTTCTCTGTGGAGTAGACTAGTGGTTTCAAACTGCTGCCCTTGCTCTTAGCAACCCCCAGTGTAACCCACTAACCACCAGAACTCTTCAATAAATTCCTGAGAGGGAAGATGATGTCTTGCTTGTTAAGGAGATACATCTGGCTCTGACTCAGGAGAAGCAACATTCCCTTGGCTTCTCTTTTCTCCTGAAATCCAACCAGGGGTATTTTAAGCCCATCTTGATAGCATCAGCTTGGTCCTTCCAGAAAGAAAGTCTGCATTTTCTAGGGCAAGGAAGAATTTAGAAGCCATCTCTATTTTGAATCCTCTCTCAAGGATGGGAGGGAAGGATAAAAATCAGATGACACAAAGAAGCTATTCAACCTGATGTATTTAGGTTTGTTTCTAAATTAATTTCCTTTCTGAAACTCCTGGTACAACAAAGGCATACGTTTCTCCTGTTACTGTAAGAGTTACTCATTTCTTCTCAATCATGCAAAGCAGAAATTATTACCAGTTTAGAATCCTTGATCCATATTGAAGAATTTGCTTGGTTTTATAATGCATTAGTCTGAGTAGACTAGAGAAGCAAATTCATTGACACTCATGTATGTGTAAGAGAGAATTTTATATCAAAGAACAATTGTATATTAAGAAATATCCCAGCCCAGTCCAGATCAAGTCCATAAATCCAATATTAGCCCATATGTCCAATACTAGTCCATAAATTCCTCTATAGACTCACACAGCCATGCAATGATGCCAAATACTGGAAGATCACAGGTCAGTGGGTGGAAAGTCTTGTGGATCCAGTGGCAATGAAGCATCTCAGCGCTGGCATGGGCCTCCACATGGCTCTTCCAGCTCCAGGGCTCTGGCTCCATCCGTGTGTCTCCATGTGGCTTTCCAATAGGAATGTGAAGCAGAGAATGTGTCCTACCTCCAGAGAGGAAGACAGGAGCTCCCAGAATCCTCAGGAGAAGGCCAGACCCCTACAGAGGCCTCAGTGGCTATGACCTGGTTGACTGGCTAGACTCCACCCCTTCACTCAAGTTGACAGGAGATTATGTAACTACCACATAGAGAGTCCTCCATTAATTAATGTGCACCCAGGGGCACACTTGTTACTTATTTTATTTATTTTTCTGATACTTGAGCTTGAGGAATTTTCCTTTATAAAACTTTGTGGAGGACACAATGTGAAGCCTTTCCTAACTGCTATAGAGTACTGATCACTTCTGTCCAGTTCCGTGCTACATTGATTTATAAAGGATATGTCATTGCATTGGGTTCCCATAGACTGTGTAAGGTCTGTGTGTTTTATCCACAGTACACTGAGTGCTCCTTCTAAGCAGCTTGTTTTAGGGTCTCTGTGTCCTGATGGTTGATTATGTGAAGTACAGCATTTACTCCGTATTGACTGAATAATTTTCTAAAACACACTGTGGTTATGATGGAGTGTCAAAAAGTTCTGGGAAAACAATGTAAAGGTAATGGAATTTCCCCACAAATTTTATAAATACCCATAAGTATGACTTGTTTTAGCATTAAAATTGTAACTTTAGAATTTTCCTAGGTTTTCTAGTACAAAAATCAAAGTACCATAAGTGGGTGATTAAAGAACAGATAGCTATTTTCTTGTGATTAATAAGTCCAGAAGTACATATTCAGGGTGTCAACTTTAAGAGAATGTTTTTTTTCTGTCAGCTTCTAATAACTACCAGAAGTTTCAGAATTCTTTAGTTTATAGATAGATGCATCTGTCTCTGTTGCATGCCTTCCCCTTGAATTTATGTCTCTATGTATTCTGCTCTTTGTATGAGATACCCCCCAGAAATTATGTTTAGAACCCATTCTATGTACTTTTAATGACAAAGGATATTCTTTTGTCATAGATTCATATTATTTTGTAATTTAAATAACAAAATAAATCAAAGTCAAATGTATGGTTTAGGAATTAGGACGTTGACACTCATTTTAGGAAGACAACAATTGAACCCATCACAAAAGTATTAAAAGTTCGTTATCTTCCACATCATATTGCACAGTCGAATGGTGGTGCAGTGATTATGTGCTCTGCCTCTTCTAGCCAGAATACCCACTAAGTGACTCTGTAGGACAATGCAACTAAGATAGAGGGGAAGTTAAGGAATAGACTTACCATTCCAGAAAATGAGCCATCGTGGATCTCGCTGCCATGAAGAAAGAAGAGCTCGGAGTGGGCATATCCTTTGGATCTGGCAATTTCTGCATGCCTAACCAACCTTCTCAATCCAGGAGGCAAAGTTGTGTCACCAGAGATGAGAAGAGAAAGGAGAGAAATGGTATAAAATTGGTGGCATCAGAACAAATAACATGAGTGTGGTGAGCTTCTTTACCCA